CCCTAAACCATATATATTCCTGTTCGTCATGTCTTGAACATTTAAATGACGTATAGGGTCAGTCCCCAGGGGTTCCCCCCACCCCCAATGTTCTAGTATCTTGTAAATGGTCGAGATCCCCACCCCTAAACCATATATGTTCTGGTTTGTCATGTGAAGATGGTTTGAATGAGATACAGGGTTAGTCCCCAAGGGTCATCCCGACCCCCTGCCATTTGAGAAAGTTCTAATATCTTGTAAATGGTGGAGATCTCCACCCCTAAACCACATATATTCCTGTTCGTTATGTCTCGAACATTTGAATGACGTATAGGGTCAGTCCCCACCCCTCACCCCCAATGTTCTAGTATCTTGTAAATGGTCCAGATCCCCACCCCTAAACCATATATATTCAGGTTTGTCATGCAAAGATGGTTTGAATGATATACAGGGTTAGTCCCCAGGGGTCATCCCGACCCCCTGCAATTTGAAAAAGTTCTAATATTTTGTAAATGGTCGAGATCCACACCCCTAAACCATATATATTCCTGTTTGTCATGTCTCGAACATTTGAATGACGTATAGGGTCAGTCCCCAGGGGTTCCCCCCACCCCCAATGTTCTAGTATATTGTAAATGGTCGAGATCCCCACCCCTAAACCATATATATTCAGGTTTGTCATGCCAAGATGATATGAATGATATATAGGGTTAGTCCCCAGGCATCACTAATGCATATAACTTTACTGGACCAAATCAATTTTCACTTGACTTTGCTAAATGTCAGGCGATCCTGGGAATTACGGATTATGGTAGCTTCGTTTGGGAGACTTCGTAACAGCATCCTGTTACAATCATTTCTTGTTAATCTGACAAATTGTCAAGATTAAAAGAAAATTGATAAAAAACCTACCATAAGCTGTCCTTGAGACAAGTTTTTGATTAATTTCATTGCAAAAAAATTGAAAAAAAAAGCAAAGAGCTGTGTTTAGTATATTTGAAAGTATCATCAGCTCAGTAGTCAGTACTTTGGTACTGATATGGTTTATAACAAAACTTTCATAAATTGTCCATTAATTAATTGAGAAATTATTAAGAAACTAAGGTTTCAACTCCCTAAGGCAAAGTTGACATTAGATGGATTTGGCTATTATTTTAGGTCCATTTTAGTCACATAGCTCGTCAACTGTTTCGGTTCTAAAATATTTGGTTTTTTAATATTCAGCTTTGAGCAGTCCTGATGTAGATGAATGCAGAAAAGCGCTTCGGACGCATGACATGCATAAAGTGTTGTTTTGAAATTTGTGTTCAAATAGGTTGTTAGAAATTACTCAGCACCGATAAAATGTATCTGTATTTTATTAATGAATGCGTTCATTATTCAAAAAGTAGAATCAATACTACATATATTAATATTCAAATAGACCCATTACACTGTTATTTCAAGAAATCTGTCAAAATAACTTGTTTTCTTTCAGTATGTACTAGATAAATATGAAATATGCCCCATTTTAAGCCAGGTACCCCCATAAGCATGGAAATCTGGTAGCTAGTCAGATATGTCCATACACATGTTTTATCGACCAATATGGGTATATTCAGTTCGGACATCGTCTTTAGTCAATATTCTTTCATCTTGTCAATTGACTGATATGATTAGGCTCTATTATATCATGCATATATCATTACTTTGAAATACTTAAATTTACTTGATTATGATTACTTTGAACCAATTCAATTTACTAGGATTACTTTTTATATTGATAGGTATTACTTAGGAATACTTATAAAAAATACCCGTAATTACTTATAATTAATATCTAAAAATTACTTGAATTCACTTAGAATTATCAAACAGAATTACTTGAAATTACTCCATATATTACTAATAATCACTTTTACAATGTATATTTCAATTACTAGGAAATACTAATATTGATTATTCCAAATTGCTGAAATGGATTACATAAAATATCTACTCATTACTACGAAATGAATTACTATATTATACTAGTCATCATTGATAATAACTACCCATGATCAATAAGTTTAACAAGTTTAATCCTTAGTTTGGTTACTAATCTTTTTTGGGGTAATTCAAAGAAATTGTTTTTTTAATAGTGTAAAGCAATTTTTGCGAAACATTAATCCATTCCTAAATTTTGCAACCCGATACTATTTCAAAGATTTGCCGGAATAAATAATACAGTTTGCAACACGTTTTTTTTTAATTGAAAATGATGGTTGTTTCTTTGAATGGCTCTTTTTAGTATTTAATTCCTATAACCATGCTAAAAGTTAAATCAGAGGGTTTCGTTCAAATCTTACATTTTTTTATATGAAAATTAAGTAAGAAAAAAGCAACATAATTATTGCATACAAGTTCAATTTGGCATTTCAAGTCTTTTTCACATTCAGATATATTGATGATGTTCTTTCCATTAACAATCCAAACTTTTATGATTGGGTTCCATAAATATATCCGCCAGAACTAGAAATCATCATAAATTTCCCAACTTATTCGGTATTCAAGAGCTTGCAGCTGCTACTAAGACCAGTGTCTAAGCAGAAAGTTGATGAATCCGGGCTATGTCAAAGAACATATCGTCCTTTTTCTAAAAAAGTTCATCGGAAGATACCAAGGCCCTGTTGATAAATATTCCGTATCAACTTCACAAATAATACATGATGGTCTTGAAGTATAGATTCTGGGTACTGACGTTGTTTATCATCTTAATTACCTGTTATAGTGATCTTTTTTTGTCTTTACATATTTTTAACCTTTACTGTTTAGTCCATTTTTGGTATATACTTTTGGCGCGGCTAGGTATTTATATATCCCGCTATTGTGTTATTGTGCTATGGTCATTTTTGTATTCTTGTCTTTCATTTTTGCTTATGTGCTTTGTCTATAGCGTGTCTTTATGCCATTTTGTTTTTCTTTGTTGAAATAGTTATGATATTTAATAGTGTGTCTTTCTATGTTGTGGTGTTACACTGTTGTTTCAGGTAGGGTGAAGGTTGGCGCCTATTAAAACGTTTAAACCCGCTGCATTTGTTTGCACCTGTCCTAAGTCAGGAACCTGATGTTCTGTGGTTGTCGTTTGTTGATGTGGTTCATGGGTGTTTCTCGTTTCTCGTTTCTCGTTACTCGTTTTTCATATAAATTAGACCGTTGGTTTTCCTGTTTGAATGGTTTTACACTAGTCATTTTGGGGCCCTGTATAGCTTGCTGTTCGGTGTGAGCTAAGGTTTCGTGTTGAAGGCCGTACTTTGACCTATAATGGTTTACTTTTACAAATTGTGACTTGGATGGAGAGTTGTCTCATTGGCACTCATACCACATCTTCTTATATCTATTTGATTTTATAGGGATTAAGATCATAACACAATGTTGACTGCCGTACCCCAATGTTTGACATTTTTACCTATTATGTCTGTTTGTTTCGCTCACACATTGTTGTTAATACAACGGAATTCTATATAACTGTCATACAAGTGAGAGGTTTATCTAGCTAAAAACCCGGTTTAATCTACAAATTTCTACATAAGGAAATGCCTGTACCAAGTCAGTATTATGACAGTTGTTTTCAATTCGTTTGATGTGTTTGAGCTATTGATTTTGCCATTTGATAAGGGACTTTCCGTTATGAATTTTCCTTGGAGTTCGGTATTTTTGTTATTTTACTTTTAATTCATGTAATGTCTTCAAGTAAAAAAAACCTTAACAAGAATGAGTACATAAATTTAAGTGTGTTGTGTTTTGTGTACTGTTGTTTGTTGGTCTTTTTCTTTTCTAGCCATGGCGTTGTCAGTTTATTTTCGACTTATGAGTTTGAATGTCCATTTGGTATCTTTTGCCTCTCTTTAATAAAGTTTGTATCAAACAATATCGTCAACAAAAAAGTTTTTGTACCAATGACTTAAGAGTTTGTTCGCCATAAAGGAAATTAAATCATTTCGATCAAAACTTTTCCTTAGCTCCCATACATGTATAATGCTAACTTGAATTTCAATTCAAACAGAAATCTTTCATTTGTCCAATAACCTTTAAGAGATTTACAAAAGACAGCATGCATATATATTAAGTACAAATATAAACCTTACAATCATGAAATGGGAAATTTCATTGCATATTTTTGAAAGCAAACTTTTAACAATATTTTCGAAAGGAAGATTCTTCGTTAAGGATTTTCGAACAATGCTCTTGTGTTAAAATGTTAAAAATATTTTTCTGGTCTGATTGTGAAAAATAGATCGTTTATGTTGTTTTCAGATTTTCCGAAAATGTTAAATTATTTGACGAGCGAGTATAAAAATGTCCGTTTCTCATTTAATATTAAATATAATTGTTGTCAATATTTTTTGTATTTTGCTCGGTAGCTTTCCAATTTTTGGTAATTGCACCCTGTTGTTGAAACTTTAAAAAGGGAATATGCATCAATATAGAAAAAAACTGTGATTGCCTAAATGTGTGTGGGAGAGGGAAATGTATTGAGTTGTTTTTAATGTTAATTTAATCTTTTAATGATTGGCATTATAATGTATCAATTTATAGATAGTTAAATTTTACTGGAAAGATCAAAACTAGTTGAAGGGTACATGCATGGGAACAGTATTTCGATAAAATGAAATTGGGTGAAATGACACTATTTGTTCAATATATGCAAGTTTAACTACTAAAGCCTCTTATTTGTTAAGAGATTTTTTTTTAAATCTAAACAACATGTGTCAGCTTCAATATAAAACATAATGTGTAAACTCTAAATTAGATGCAGATAATTATCAATATGTTGTTTATTTCTGTTCAGATAAAATATTGCATAACACCTCCTTACAAAATATTGTATCAATTAAGGCGGTGACAAATAACATGTGACTCTTTCGATCAAATGTGCTTGATCAATTTTAATTTGCATACTAAAGAAATGCGTTCCTAAATAAACAAGCTAAGTATAAATAACAGAACTCTTAAACCGAATAATCACACTTGATCTTTCCTTCTGAAAATAAAGTGGAACTGAAATATATTCAGATACAAGTTATCATTTGCGGTGAAGTCAATTTTTAACTTGCCTAGTTATACAGTTAGGGGTAAGTATGATTGTCTCTTTTGAATCAACTAAATATAGAAAACACAAAGCCTATTTAGAAAACAGTCAGACGGACAAAATAAATGTTTGTTTAATCTATGAGATTTATAAATTCTAAATCTAACATGAGATTTAAGAGGAATTAGATGATATTAGTTATATAACAGCAACACTTTAAAAATCGTGTATTTTAATCAAATGTTAGGTGTTTACAATTAAAAAGAAAATGATTATGTTTTTTTGAAACACTTATTTGAACAAAAACATATTAATAATATACCATCGTCTGTCCTTTCTACGGAAGTTTAAAATGGGATTTTGGGGATTTTAAAAATCATTGGCAAAATGCAAAACAATCTTTACTGTACGAAATTAACTGCCTGAAGATTAATAGCATAAAACGATTTGATTTAAATGTCCGCATATTTTATTATTATTATTTACTGTAATTTTTCAGTTAATGGTAACATAAAGGGTTCCATTTTAACTACACCAGATGTGCATTTTGACAAAAATTAATGTCACTTTGATGATGCCCGAGGCCGAAAGATTTAAAAGTCTTTAACCTAATATAAACGTTGAAAAGCTAATAAAACCAAAAAAGATGATCGAAAATAACTTAAGCAAATATGAAAAACATAATACTTGTTAAAAGATGGCGTGGGTTTTGCTGTCTTGATAATTTTGTACAAATTTCTACGTATCTGGTTATATTTTGTTTGTCTTGAGCCTTCTTGATAAAATTTATTCAAAACAAATTCTCCCTCACACTGCAATTTAAATTGATTTACACATCGGTTTATTTGTAAGCTTTTTGAAATTCTGTATTTGATAATTGAATAAAATTGAGAATGGAAATGGGGAATGTGCCAAAGAGACAACAACCCGACCACAGAACAGACAACAGCAGAAGGCCACCAACAGGTCTTCAATGCAGCGAGAAATTCCCACACCCGGAAGCGTCCTTCAGCTGTCCCCTAAACAAATATATATACTAGTTCAGTGATAATGAACGCCATACTAAACTCCAAATTGTACACAAGAAACTAAAATTAAAAATAATACAAGACTAACAAAGGCTAGAGGCTCCTGACTTGGGACAGGCGCAAAAATGCGGCAGGGTTAAACATGTTTATGAGATCTCAACCCTCCCCCTATACCTCTAGCCAATGTAGAAAAGTAAACGCATAACAATACGCACATTAAAATTCAGTTCAAGAGAAGTCCGAGTCTGATGTCAGAAGATGTAACCAAAGAATAAAAACAAAATGACAATAATACATAAATAACAACAGACTACTAGCAGTTAACTGACATGCCAGCTCCAGACTTCAATTAAACTGATTGAAAGATTATGTCTTCATCATATGAATATCAGGCACAATCCTTCCCGTTAGGGGTTTAGTATCATACCATCATAACATATATGAGAAGAACATAACCCGTGTCATGCCAACAACTGGTTTTTAAATAAATGTGTTTAGTGCCGATGCAAAGACCCTATAAGTGAATCAATATTAACGCCAAAATATGCAATCTTTAATGACAGTATCGTAACTATATCCTTTCTTAATAAGTCTATTTATAGGTTTTGTTAGCTTCAGAGGTGAATACTGACATTTTTGTGCTTTATAAAGAATATAAGACTAACAAAGGCCAGAGGCTCCTGACTTGGGACAGGCGCAAAAATGCGGCGGGGTTAAACATGTTTTGTGAGATCTCAACCCTCCCCCTATACCTCTAGTCAATGTAGAAAAAACAAACGTACGACAGTACGCACAGTAAAACTCAGTTTAAGAGAAGTCCGAGTCCGATGTCAGAATAGGAAACAAAAGAAAAATAAACAAAATGACAATAATACATAAATAACAACAGACTACTAGCAGTTACTGACATGCCAGTTCCAGACCTCAATTAAACTGATTGAAAGATTATGTCTTCATCATATGAATATCAGGCACAATCCCTCCTGTTAGGGGTTTAGTATTATACCATCATTAAATATATGAGAAGAACATAACCCGTGTCATGCCAACAACTGGTTTTAGAATAAATATGTTTAATTCCGATGCAAAGACCCTATAAGTGAATCAATATTAACGCCAAAATATGCAATCTTTAATGACCTGACAACAGTATCGTAACTATATCCCTTCTTAATAAGTCTATTTAAAGGTTTTGTTAGTTTCAGAGGTGAATACTGACATTTTTGTGCTTTATAAAGAATATTTCCATAAAAAATTGGATGTGAAATACCTGAACGTATAGGAAGTCTGCATGTTGAGCTATATTTACGAATGATGTCCTTATACCGATGATAAAATTCACATTGAAACTTATTTAAGAAAAACAAAAATAAATAAATAAATTGCTTCAATCTGGTTTCAATATCAGATTTATTGTACTCGATCGTCTCTCCGAATACTAAGTTCAAATGTGTCGGACTTAAAGAACGAGTCGGAACTAGATTTGAAAATTGGTATTTACTGCTTCTGCGCTAAACACACGGCATCAAGGAGTATAACTAAAGACTTGTCGACTCAGAGTAAGATTAACATGTCCGGTTACGGTGACATGTCTTCCTGCGGAACTCATGCACCTTATTTGAAACACGTTCAAGACTCAGTCTATATGTCCAGTACAATGCAGGGTAGATATTCAAATCCCATTAACATGCAATTGAGCTAATTTACATAAAGTAAGGCTAGGCTTAAAACACCTTTCATCAGGATTCGTTAACGTTAAGCAATTTTTGTATAAGTAATAATCATATCAATTTGTTGTTTTTTTTACCTATGCAGTTATGACACCCTTATCTTTATTTGAGTTTCATCTTGATATCTATAACGGTTAGTATAGTGAGGCAGAAGCTACCAAAGGGAGAATCAACACTCTTACTGACAAATTCCCCCCTCCCTCCCCCCCCCGAGAACTAGTAAAGATAAAATCAGTCTACAAAACACCACATTCAAAATCCTAAAGACTGAGCAACACGAACCCCATCAAAAACTGGGGTTGATCTCAGATGCTCATGAAGGAGAGCAGATCCGGCTCCACACGTGGCATTACTAACCACTGTTTATACATATGTATACTTGTAAATTTTAAGCGATTTGTATAAGATGTTAACCTTGACATAAAGTATGCAACATTATAGTCTAATAGTATATTTTTCACCGGTCAAGCAGGTGTCCTATTTTCTACGCCTACGTGCGTCAACGTTTGCGCCGTTGATGCGTTCATTTGCGGCAGAGTTCATTTGCACAAATTGAACTTTGGGCAAATAATTATTGTAGAAGGTACTTTTATTTATATAACACTAGAATTAAACAATTTATTTGCACAACTATACACTATATGATAATAAATTGCTTCTCTTCTTCTTTATCTAGACTTTAGAATAGTTGAAGTCATTGTTTTTTCCTTTCAAATCAAAATAAAAGATGCAACTTAGGCCATTTTTTTATACACAGTTTTGATTTAGAAAAAAAACACAAATAATAAAACCATTACAAAACAATTCCATTTTAATATTCTTGTCATGGTTAGAAAATACTTAGAATAACACCATTACAAACTCAATCCCAATTTAACATTCTTGTACGTGTCTATAAATAAAACAAATCTATTTTATTTTTAGAAATTTACCTGTGATAATATAAACGTCACAAAAAATACGTCACTTTTTGTGACGTTGAACCATTCATGTGACGCGCAGTTTATATTTCGTTTGTGGTGTCCTGGTGTTCTGTTGTAAATTCATGGGAGGTGTCCGTTGTTATTCTGCGGTTTACATGTTGTGTAATGTACTATTATATTATTTATTCATGTATTTCTCTATGCTGAGTGTTCTTGCGTTTGTTTGTACTGTATTACTGTCACAAAGTGTTGTCATTTTAGCGGTATTTTTAATATTGCCATATAAGCGGGAGGTTTGGCTAGCCATAAAACCAGGTTCAACCCATAATTTTTCCTTAAAATGTCCTTTACCAAGTCAGGAATATGGCAGTTGTTATCTACAGTCCGTTTCTATGTGTGTTTGCGTTTGCTTTTGTTGTAGTTCAGTGTTTCTGTTGTTCCGCTGTTTTCCTCTTATAGTTGATGTGTTTCCCTCGGTTTTAGTATGTTAGCCGGAATCGTTTTTGCTGAAACGAATTACGACTATTGTTGCCTTTTTATACCTTTTAAAGGAAGCAATCTATGTTTAGATGAAGCCAATTTGTTTGCATTTATTAAGCCATCACTGTAAGGGAAAATATTTGGGAATTTAGATATTTTGCTTCAATGTTGATTTTCAGAATAGTACAGATGATTAGGCATATATATATAATATGTTTTAAATGGATAAAGCCTCAGAGTCAAGTTTACGACTGGTGTTTATATAGCTATCTTTCGCATCGCATGTATTGTCAACAAGTGTTATGCAACTCTTTGTTTTACACAGAGGAAACAGATGCAGCTATGATAAAACTTCTTCTCAAGGGGTGTTATGTCTCTACTTAGAACATCTACTACAATTGAATTAAATTAAGAATACTAATGATTTAAGATCGTGTGAACAGGATATTTTTCGTTTCGTTTTATTTAACTTTAACATACAGTATTTTGTTAAATTATACTTAAGATACTGTGAACATCGTGCACTTGAACTGTCAATTTTCACTACTATCTACCAAGAAATAGCATACATTTGAAAATATATGCTTAAAATATAAAATAGCAAAAAGTAGACACGCTATCTTAGCCATTTTACCAATTTTTGGTTAAAATGCCAAAGGAAATGAACATATGCAGGTGTATATTGTAAAATTGTATATTGTAGTTAGGCTTACTCCGGCTTCCTTCCCAATGAAAAAAGCCATTGTATAGCCAAGTGTGCAACAATAACAATCAATCAATGAATCAATGTAGTGGAAATAAAACACTTGAGGTCCATTGTTTTTCGTCTTTCGTGGGTTTTACCTGATACATCTTTTGATACAAATTCCTGTACGTAAATTTTTTAGCCATGGTGTTGTCAGTTTTTTTCGACTTATGAGTTTGAAAGTCCCTTTGTTATCTTTCGCCTCCCTTTTGAATTAAAAGTACAACTGCGCTTTTGATTGTTCAATTTGTCAATACATATCATTTTTCAAAATAATTGCGTTTTTAATGTATTTTAAAACTGTGTTTAGCGCCATTGCACGATAGCCAATAGAAGAAAGGAACCCGGCGAAGCACACTACCATTACTCAACACGCTTGGTGTACTCATATTTCATACACATCAAGTTATAATTTTGTATAATTGTTTAGGTATAACATTAAAGATATGTGATATTGTTGTAATGTGTACAATATATTCAATTCAATTCCAATAGTATTGGCATTGAAATTTAATTCTTAAACATAATAAATATAACAAAAGACCGTCTACTTCTTACGCAAACTCCCCGGCAGTTCCAGCTCCGATCCTCATACTACTCTACACTAATGGAGTAAAGGAAACGGAATGGAAACGACCACTGTACGGAGTTTGCTTCTTACGTAGTGTACGTTTCTTAGTTTATTCAATATTCGTCAAAACTTACTCAAAATTGTATCACAAACATAGGGTTGTATTGTGAAAATATTAGTTCACTTTTGAGAATTTTTCATATTAGTGATATTTCACACCAATCTTTTTAAAGAAAAAAGTATAAAGGAAGTTTATTATTGAACAAAGGAATAACTGGTGTATACGTCACTGAGACAACAACACTTTCAAAACAAACTTAATACTGGAGGTCAATATACGGGTGTAAACTATTGACACATTTTTTTAAGGAATGAATGTAATATTTTTTCTTTCTATGAAGAAATAACATCAAAAATGTGGTGCACACTGAATAACCCGCGTAGCGTGTATTTTAAAAGTGTACACCACATTTTTTTATGTTATTTCTTCATAGACATAACAAATTTCACAGCGTTGCTCCTGACGAGTATCAAATCAACATTTTAGTGTTTTTATTTCTTTTTTTTAAATTAGTGGTAATTATGTTGGCAACCTACAATGTGTAGGTTTAGTTTATTGTGTTTTATAGTATTGTTCAATGGAGGGGGGGGGGGGGGTTTGTACGCACGTAACAGTATTTGATTCCCACCACACTTTATGGTTGTACCAAGTTAGGGTATATAAACCGTATTCTGTACGTTATTGATTTATTCTGTTTGAATATCTGTTTTTTTGGAGGACTCAAGTCTCCGTGGTTGACGTGGTCTGTTGTACTGTATAGTATCAATTTGTTATTCTTGTTATATTTTTTTTTATGTATGATTTATTAATTTGAAAACTACTGTTTTGTTCATACTACGCTATATATCTTTCGATCCGTTATCTTATATTAAGTGTTATTTTGTAGTTGTTTTGTATGGTATTTTATGTACCTTTGTTTGTTCACAGTTCGAGATTACAAAACGGGAGGTTTAAGATACAAAATAGTTGAACCTGGCTAAATGGTCATGTATCTGTCTAAAGTCAATTACCTTTTTAGTCATATCATGATGCAATTTTTAATTTCAGGCAACTAAGCGTTGCTGACAAATCTTTGTTAAGTCTCTGATAATGTACTATCTGCATTTAGAATTTTACCATTTCATAGTAAAAAAAAATCTGTCAATAGTTTACACCCGTATATTGACCTCCAGTATTAAGTTTGTTTTGAAAGTGTTGTTGTCTCCGTGACGTATACACCAGTTATTCCTGTTTTCAATAATAAACTTCCTTTATACTTTTTCCAGTTGCATTTAATCTGGTAAATTCATGAGTATTATAAGATTCTTTAATGAAAGTCAACTATTATTTATTGCAGGTTATAAAATCTAGATCATGGCAACGTTTGTCATAAAGCACAAGTCTGGTGGTAAATTTTTACATCCATTCGGCGGTCGATCGAATCCAGGAAACGACACTAATTTAGTTTTATACGAAGGAACACCAGACCATACGCATTTTACCTTTGATGTTGAAGATGATCATTGGGGATACATACGGCACGTAGCTAGTGGTAAAGTTATACATCCGTATGGCGGCTGGTTGAACCCGGGAAACAATACGGATCTTGTCCTACACCAGGATCGTCATGGAGGCGCCCTCTTCTGTATCGATAGTGCAAATGATGCCATTATACACAAAGGAGGAAAGTTTTTTCATCCGAAAGGTGGAAGCCACAAGCCTGGGAATGACACAAATGTATGTCTTCATCAAGATCAACATTATGCAATGAGGTTTGAATGTGTATCTCCAAACAATACCAGCGAAGATGTGCTAGTTTATGGTGCACCAACCTTACGTGGAAAGTGGAAAATTATCAATATGGTTATAAATCCGGCAGCGTTACACAAGTACACCTTCCAATACAAAGTTGGGAAGTCCAAAACTGAGAGTACTAGTTATTCGTTTTCGTTTAAGTGGGAAACGACAGCAGGTGTTTCAGCTGGTATCGTGTCTGCATCAGCGTCAGCATCCTTATCAACTATGTTTGAAAGAACATCTGCTTCAACATGGTCGGAGGAGACAACAGTTACACGAGAGATAACAGGTTGTTTTCTCATTTATTGATTTCACTTTTGAATGAATAAATAGCATAGCATATACGTGACGGATCTGGAGCACATCAGATCACCCCAGTATTTGTTATTTCTTTGTTTGATGCTCATTCATTAGTTTTCTATGTTGTGTTTGTAGACTCTTGTTTGCCATTTGTCGTTTTTTGTTTGTTTCTTGCAATGCAATTTGTCTATTTAAAAATAAGAAGATGTGGTATGATTGCAAATGAGACAACTATCCACCAGAGACCAAATGACGTAGAATGTTAGCAACTTTAGGTCACCATACCACCATAACAAGAGTAAGACCCATACAACATAGAAAGCTATACAAGGCCATGCAATTACAAATGTGAAAACAATTCAAAAGAGAAAACTAACGGCCAGATTTATGTAAAAAACAATAAACGAAAAACAAATATGATAAACAGTTTATTTTCGATTCATGAGTTTTATGTGTATTAACCGATGTGTTACCTAGTTGGTATCACTTTGAATGATGTATACTGTAAATCGCCTTATAAATTACCTTATTAAAAGACAAACTTTAGAACGTTTTTCAACGATTGTTCGTGCTTTCTATAGAAATGTTCAGCTATTTTTGAAGAGTTCATTCAGTAATATGTCAGAAATATAAGAGATAAATGCATTATTTTTTTCGATTTTCAACTATAGTTCAACAAGCCAAAGTGCAAAATTTAACCAAAATCTGTGACATAGCGCAGTGTTTTGGGATGTTCACAATGTAATCAGATGTTTGTTCATGGAATGTATTTATAGATTTACGAATTGCCTAGTTTGGTAATTAGTCTGACAATTAAACAATAAATTTACGTTTCAGTTAAACCAGGAGAATCTGTGGTTACTTGGCAATTTGTTTTTACATGTGATCAGCTAAACCACAGAGCCAAGTTTAACAGCAACTTGCTTGCAGACACTCGAAGTCCAAATGATGTTCCTGACGACATTGCTGGAACTGGATTTTGAACAGATAGCTTACAATTTTCATACTAATATCTAGACTTGCTTTATATTATATTTTATTCACCCTCAATTTTTGGAATATATATTTATGTAAACTTTGTAATTTGACATCGATCAATTCATACCGAGAAAGAACATATGTGATTTGAAATATTTACTGATTTTGTATATACAATGTATCATCAAATATTCATTTTGTACTCATTTTGTGGTGTTACTGTGCACGTTTTGATTTATATATTTCTTTTGTGTACTTTATAGTTTTTCATTACGATCTTAAGTATCCGTAACAATGACCGTTGCATAGAAGTTTTAATCAAAAAGAAAAAGTTTAAACGTCTATAACTTTTATGGGTGGAAGTGGAGGTTTTAAGTAAATTGTAATATTTTTTGATTTGCTATATTCAACGCTACCATGGTTTTATAAAAAAATATGTTTTCGGAAATAATCGATATTATATTTTCATCTTCACCCTTTGACCATTACAATAATTAACGATGCTAAAATCATGGCTATCAAGAACGGTATTTCCTTTGATTGGGCGATAATGATATCATGTTTGATGTTCGAAATTGCGTGTTATATCTAAAATGTAGAGGTGACGACAATTTAAAATACACATATCTAAGACAAGAGGTATTAACGATTGTACTATTCCAAGCAGTATAGAAACGAAAATGTTTATTGTGGGTAAATTCAATTTTTCATACAAACTATCCTGTACGAATGCAATTTGGCATGAGAGGCCATTCATCTACTGAATTTTCAATTTAAAAACAAGTTAATATTCAGACCAACGATAAAAATGAGTTGCAGAAAAAAGCATATAATAGATAAGGCAAGTATACTCGGAAAATTATTTGTTTTTTTGCTTTTGCTTAAACATTCAAATCAGATAAAAAGATGTTAAATAATGATTATTCTCCTGAAGGCCAAATCTTTCGAACGTTTCATGTTTTTGCTCTGCCATCGCTCTTTAATTAAATCAATATTACCGTCTGTACAATAAATCCCATGTTTAAAATCAGATTCAATAAATCTTTAATTTGAGCTTTTTGAACAATTATTTAATCAATGCAAAAAAAATATTAAAACCCAAACGCAAAAGTTACGACTTTTCTTTTCATGTTTTATGTAAACATTTATTATGTTTCGGAAACAAGTGTGGTCACAGATCAGTGTGGATAGTAATTGTTAAATTTGTGTTAGTATGTATTACAGTGTTATCATCACCGAGTTTATGTATTGTTTGTGCCCTCTCCAGATGTTGTTTGAGCTATTTCTTTGTCTTTCACGTAGGGTTCTATGTTAAACTGTGTTAAACTGTGACGGTCATCTTGCCTTTTTAGATAAGAAGCAAAAGCTCAAAATTGGCGTAAGCAACTTGCCCTTTTTGCAAGTGACCATCCTATAATACTTTTCTGAAAGAGACAACAACTTTCTGAAATTTTGTACTTGCATATGAAATTTCTATACTGCCATTTACAGACGTAAAATGATGTAAAATTAGCTTTCTGTTTTTCTTACGAAAAACTTCCCTAGAGTAAGCTGCCGTGTCATCTTATACATTAACAGATCAGCTCAGGACTGTTATTTAGGAACATTGAATGCTCTCTATTCGAAGAAAATGCTGGGAATAAAACTATTTTCTAAGGCCAATGTGCTTTACCTGGGATATGACCTTAGATGGATTTGGTTATTTTTTCAGGTCTTGTTTGGTGATATAGCTCTTCAACTGTTTAGGTTCTTATACATCCTTGGCTTTCAAATATTCGGCTTTGAGCATTCCTGATGAAGGTAAATCTAGAAAAGCGCTTCGGACGCATGACATTTATAACTTGTTGTTTTCATTTTTTTAAGTTTCTCATGCAAATACTATCTATAATAGGACTTCAACCTTTCAACAGTAAACACTGGGTAACAAACATTAGATTTCAATGTCTATATTTTTTTTCTTTTTTGCTTGGGTTTGTTTTTACTCTAGTTCACAAATGGACCAATGTATATTCATTGCATTTATATAAACAAATTTGTAGTTAATGTCTTTAAAAGGACTGTCTAACTAGTTTGGCAATTATGCTGTTCGGTAGAAAAATATTGGCATTTCAACGGTCTAAATGCCCAGTAAGTTTATTTTTGAATTATGAATGTAAATTTCCCTTTGGTATCTTTCGCCTCTCTTTTCAAGAAATACATTTTTTGACCAAGCAGAAGTGAAAAATTAATTTTCTTATTGAAAGATTTTGCCATTAAATTCAATGTTAAGTTCTAAAACAAATTTGGACTGATTGTCATGTGCATCTTGAAATTGTTGTAAAAATTAAATTTGATATCTAGACATTGCTAGAAGGAATTTAATCAGAAGCAAAATAAATGGCTCTGTAGAAACACATGCATGGAGATACCCTTCTAGACATATAGATTTATGCCAGTTATGGTTGTCCATAACTCTGGGATGACAAACCAGAAACTTTTAAAAATCTAAAGTTTGGTGTACATTCACCAATCCCGACAGCAGTGATAAGTTTGTAATAATTTGATCCGAGCATATTAAAGCTAGTGCATGACTTTCAAAAAATGTCTTTTTTATCTGACAATCAAAGGCATATAACTCTTGGATGACGTACCAGATACTTTTTTTTTTAAATCGAACGGTGTGTTATATTCATCAATTCCAAGAAATATGTAATACATTAGGCAATTCAAGTTCTGTAACTCTGAAATGGAAAAACATTTATCAATCTCAACAATAACTTTCAGTTTTAAAGAAATCAATCGAAACATATTGGAATTAGTGCGCGATATGTTAGAAATGTCTTTAATTTAAACGGTTTAAGTCCAGTAACTCTTGAACGGAAAAACAAAATCTACAAAATCAAATGTGAGTTTCCTTTATCAATCTAAACAATAATGTAAAGTTTTGAGAAAATAAATCCAGGCATACTGTACTTACCGCGCTATAGGTGTAAAAAAATCCGGGTATTTTCTGACCAATTTGGCTCACCAAAAACAATATTTTTATATACACTATGTACAAGTTGAATTATGAAAAGAAACAACATTTTGCCCAAAAAAATGAACTAAAACATAATCATAGAACGTGCATGCATAAATGAAAGCAACAATGTATATGGACATTGATATTTAATATATATATAATAATGTGGAACACGTTGATCCACTTGATTTCATTGCCTAATTAGTTTTATATCTATATGGATAAAAGGAGATTTCGGTATATATATCACTGCAACAGCAGATAACCAAACGATATCTACAAAGGGCAACATACAGGTTGACTGTTTTGACTTTTTCACTCTTTATACTACACTTCCACACAATCTTATTAAACAAAAGTTTTCCTATCTAATTAAATGGTCGTATGATAAATCTGGTTGCAAATTTATTTGCTGCAACTCATATAAAGCCTTTTTCTCTAATGAGAAAGGTAAACATGCTATCACTGGAGGTGTAATGAGATGATTAAAGCACTAAATTTTCTCCTCGACAACATTTGTGTACGTTTCGGCAATTCAGTTTATCGACAGGTTGTAGGTATTCCTATGGGCACCAATTGTCCCACTTGAATAGCAGACTTGTTCTTTTACTGTTATGAATCACAGTTTATGACCAAACTCAGTAAATAACCGTCTAAATTCCAGTTAATTGATAAATTCAACAACGCTTACCGTTATCTTGATGATATTTTTTGGTTAAATAATCAAGAATGCTCTAAATATACTACTGGAATTTACCCTAAGGAACTTACTTTAAATAAGTCAAATATTAACAACAATAACTGTCCTTTCCTAGATTTAGATATTCCAGTAATACAACAGAAACTCTACACAAAAATTTACGACAAAAGGGATGATTTTTCTTTCCCTATTGTTAATTTCCCCTTTTTGGATGGTGATGCTCCTCCTCTTACGGTGTTTATATATCCCAACTCGTGCAAAGGGTCTGTAGTGACATTTTGGATATCAATGAGCGCAATCTATGTATAACTAGTAAATTATTAAGTCAGAGATTTCGTTACCACACATTACTTAAAACCTTTACTAAATTCTTCCATAGATACAAAGATTTGGTCTGGAAGTTTGGCTGTACCTGTAGAAACTTATTTCAAACGGTAGAGCACATCCTAAATTTTACATTGTGATGTTGTAAACAGAGCCCGGAAATTAAGATACGATCAGGGTAAACTTATCAATCCTTTAAATAAATTTATTCTAAAAAGTTACATTTTCAACACTGTATATAAATCTTTGAATATTGTTTTTATTGGTATAAATATTAATTTTGTTATCAGTTAATTAAAACCATACTACATATTACACATAATTACTTTCACGATACTACAATCTGTCGATACCTTTAGTTTGGCATTGCATAAGGTCATGTTTTTCTCTGACTGTTAATGACGTCTTTACACTTCTAGTAAATCTATTGGATGTTGGATGTGTACTGATTGATATTTCAGTCTAAGATACATGATTTTTTTTATTAGTTGTTATTGGCTTTAAACTTGCTGTCAGTAACTGCGAGTACTCTCAGATCTGTACTTAGTGTCTTTTTGTTATGGGGATGTATAAGTACCCGTCCACGTCCACTCTGTGTTTTTGTTAGATGTATTTCTATTTGATGAGTTAAGCCTTTTTCAACTGATTTTTATAGTTTGTTCTTATGTTGTACTGTTGCACTACTCTTCTAGGTAAGGGGGAGGGTAAAGCCCACATACATGTTTAACCTCACCACATTCTTTATGTGCCTGTCCCAAGTCAGGAGACTGTAGTTCAGTGGTTGTCGTTGGTTCATGTCTGTCATATTTGTTTTTAGTAAATTGTTTTGTTACAAATTAGGCCATTAGTTTACTCAAATGAATTGTTTCATATTTTTCATGTTGGGGCCTTTTATAGCCGACCATACGGTATGGGGTTTTCTCATTGTTGAAGGCTGTACGGTTGCCTATAATTGCTTACATCCACTTCATTTGAACTTTTGTGGATAGTTGTCTCATTGGCAATCATACCACATCTCCTTATTTTTATATTCATTAATAGACAGGTCTTTATATAATGTGTCAATTCTTAATTGAAAGTACTGTAAATTCAGAAATTATTGCAATGCGACTGAATGAGTATTAGTATAACAATGATACACACGCATTTGTATTTGAATTGATGAGTTAAGCCTTTTTCAACTACAAAAGGCTTAACTCATCAATTCAAATACAAAATAAGAACTCGCATTCTTATATCCGATACTTATAAACTGTATGCAGATTTTCATGAAATTTCAATAATTATTCTTGCATTTTAGTCGATTCTACAACATTTGCAATAATAAATGAACACACTAATTTCTAAATTTTCAGTAATGAATATAAAAATAGAGCTAATTTACACAAAAGTATCCAACTACCGGTAACTGAAAGCTTTTTCATATGACATATGACAACTCCTTAATCAGGACATGGACATAGTTAAATTAGAAAAAAACTGTAATCCCCAGACTTCATGTATACAACTTCAAAATGTAGAGTTATTGTCATGGCAAAGGATCGATACTATAATAGTATTTCAATTGAAATTGGTATCATTATTTGTTCATTAGATCTAATCAAATGATGAAATTGTGAAATCATAATTTTTAGAAATTTACTTATCTGTCAAATTCATGTTCACCGATTTGACTTAAATTCTCATATTTGATTTAAAACATACTAAAAAATATATCCAAATTACAAAAAGTCTAATATAAACAATTAACAATGCATGAACTCGATAATATGTATCAGCATTTAATGTGTATTTTTGTATGAGTTTGAATGTACCTTTGGTATCTTTCGCCCTTCTTTTTTAACCGCCGAGATGACTTCCGAAGATTGCCGACGGTCTCAAAACCGTAAGTGAAACATAAATATAAATAAATAGGAACCAAGTGCAATTGTATTTTCTAGCTCTGATTGATTTTATATTGTAGGTTAAAAAGTATGTTTATCATTTGTTTTTACCAGTATAAGAATGATTTCGTTTGTGGATCGAATC